CCGACCTTCACCTAAGGTGCACTTGGCTCTTCAGTATCTCATACGCAACTACTTTCGTATTGAAAACGTTATTGCTGTACGACTCGCCAAGAGCCTGACGAAGCTGCCTGCTGCACCCTATGCAGACAGCTGTACACTAGTGCACTATGATAACGATGTGACCCCTGGGTTTCATTACTACGAAGCTGATGGCACTGCCTTGAACATCTATGACATCACAGGATCTACACACTCACGCATCATCCAGTGTCTTAAATCCAGGAAGCCGTCTGCTGGGTTTGACCAAGACTCACTAAGTTTGAGGAACTCGCTGATGGTCCACCACCAAGCGAATCACCTCCAGCAGCTGCTCCTGAGGAGCCTCCTACGGACAACGATGGTCGGCTCCCGACCATCATAGAGGAGACAGAAGAAGATCTGGATGCTTTTGTCTTGAAGTCGTGGTATGCTGAACTGATGGATGACAGAACACTCCTTGAAGCTGACACAGAGGAAGTCATGCATACAGTTCCTACATACATGACAGACACACAGTGTGTACTAGTCTCTACGACCTGTGAAGATGTGCAAGGCCACTTGCCGGAGCGGGGTCACCCGCCAGGATACGACATGGACACTTCTTACTACGTTCCTTTATGCTCCACGGAACCGGATAGCAAATGTGATCTGGACTCCGATGAGCACGGGAAGTATATCGAGCTCTGCTTCACTGCAGACATGTCCAAAGTCGTCCTGTCCGAGCAGCAACACCGACTGTTGGATGACAGCAGCGTCACAACTATGCGAGTATACGTTAGCGCTGCCTCCAAACGTGCCGTGGTCGTCAAGGAAGACGATCTACTCACGAAGGCCGACATCCAAGCAAATCCGGTCAAGGTCTCCAAAGCCCTCTACACAGAGCTGAAGACTTGGCTTGACAACAAATGCTTCCAGATGACTGACTTAAGCAAGGCGTCTAACATCATGACGTCACGCTACGTATACAAATGGAAGTTTGTCAAGAACGAAAAGGGCGAAATGGAAAGGACGATCAGGTTACGCTTGGTACTCCGTGGCTTCATGGACCTTGAAGCCTTTGATGTCGAAACCTTCTCTGGCACGGCAAGGAGGTCAAGCCAGAGACTGCTCGCAAGTTCTGCTGCATGCAACAAAGCTTGGATCATCGCTTCCCTGGACATCAACATGGCTTTCTTGAAGGGACTGACCTATGGCGAGCTCGCCGCGGCAACGGGCGAGAAAGAACGTGTGGTGTGTTTCACACTACCACCTGGGTCAGCAGCTGTCCTTCGCACACTGCCAGGCTTTGAGTCATATGACGAATCAAAGCATTGTCTCCGGTGTCTGAAACCGGGGACAGGCACGAAGGATGCTCCCAGGGCGTTCTCGCTGAAGCTCAGGTCCATCACTAGGAGCTTTGGGCTACAGCCTACTTCATACGACGAAGAATTCGAGATGAGCCCAAACCTCTTGACAGCCAAGCACGTTGATGACATCAATATGACTGGGAAGGAAGAGGCTATCGACAAGTATGTCAAGTGTGTTGAAGATACGTTTGGGAAGTGCAAACTGAACAAGCACACATACACGAACTGTGCTGTTCGGTACAACAAGACCGATGATGGGAGCGTCACTCTCGACCAGGACGAATACATCAAACAGCTTCGTCCTATCACACATCCAGAACTCACAGGAGCTGATCCTGAAAGCAAGGCGACGAAGACAATTTCTGATATGTTCGTTAGTCTTCGTGGCGCTCTAGCCTATGCGTTGATCACGCAGGTATGGCTAATGGTCTATGTTGTCGCACTACAACGTATCCAAGAACCGACAAACATCCAGGTACGACGACTAAACGCGGTTACCAGAAAATTGCAGGCAGGTCCGAAGAAGATCGTGTATCATGCTATGACTCCAACAGGAGAAGTCGACCTGCATAGCGATTCTGGCTATCGTCGTCTCAACGGAGATGAAGACGACGAAGTCAAAGGCTATGGTATCCGCGGGGCTAACCTGCTGAGGCGTGGCCACACGCAAGCGGGGAAACCCGTCGTGCACCTGGTGGACGCATACTGCAAGTCTCATCGACTGCAAGTGCGTTCGAGCTACTCTGCGGAAACACTGGCAGCAGCCCACAACTTGGAAGACTGCTACCCGACCATTGTGACGCTCCACGAGCTACACTCGGGACCATTGACCCCCACACAGCTGAAGAACATATTGGAAATGGGAGGTCTATGTATCAAAGTCACTCTGACTATTGATGCCGAGTCTGTCTTCAAATCTTTGTCTAGCAAGGATCTGAAGAAGCCCACAGAGTGTACTCTGCTTGGGCACATCAGCTGGATTCGCCAGATGATGGAACGTGGAATCGTGGAAAGCGTCCAATGGTGTGACACGCGGGATATGACTGCCGATGGTCATACCAAAGGTAGCATTGACCGCGCGTTGCTCCTACAAGTAATGGCCGGCCAGCAATCCTTCAAGCACGAGCTGAAGAAACATACGCCGTATAGGGCGGGCAGGTCGTCTCAGGACGGCCCTGCCTCCCGAGCCAGCGGGGAAACCCGCGGGCAGGTGCGCTTTAGCAGCGAGGAAACTCGCCGGTAGCGAGGCTACTCGCGCGCCCTTTCCTTGTAGGCAGCCGCTGCTGCTTAGCACTGTTTTTCCGCATAATAGAAGTGCGGTACCTGCTCGTCTCCTCCCCCTCCGACTTTAAACGGAGAAGGTTAAAGGCGAGGTATAAATCGAGCATGTACCGCTGCCGTGCCTGGCTCAAGCCGGGCCCGGCCAGATATGTGACTGTGCCTCACTGAGGCGCACTACTTGCATCCGAGATCGGAAAACATCCTTTTCCATTGACGATGCCCATCCTACTCTTTACTCCAGATCCCATGCTTCGTCTCGCTCTCTTGCTCATGCGCTATGAGCCTAAGCCTGGGATATGGAAGCGCCTAAGGCGGACTGTATACCTAAGCTTACCAGCTTGTTTTCGACTTCCATATGCACCAGACCCTGGAGGCCCAAGCGTGCCAGGCGCGCCAGGTGCGGCGCGTGCGCCACGTGCGCCCGGTGTTCCACGTGCTCCAGCTGCGCCAGGTGCACCAGCCACTGGGCACCAATGGGGGCGCTGCCTCCGTACGCCGCAACTGCTCGTCGGAAAACGATGAGGCCCCCCCTAGTTGGGGCTAGCCCCTTCCCCCTTCGGGCGCCTTCGGAACAACCTCTTGAGGCCATCTTTGGGTCACCTTGGGGCGCTCTTGGGGCCGTCTCGGAGGCCTCGCGGGCACGGCTTGGAGCTCTCTTGGGCCATCCGCCAGGAGGCCTCCCCCGCTGGGGCCTGCAAAACCGCATCTTGGCGCCCTCTTGGCGTCAACTCGGGGCGTTCTTGGGCCGGCTCGGAAGCCTTTTGAGCCGGACTTTGGAGCTTTCTTGACCAATTTCGGAACCATTTGCAGGTTTCGAAAGCCCATCGGAAACGATAAGGCGACAAGGCAGCAGCCACTGATGTGTCAAACAAGTCGGTCGACCACCTGCGCCCAGAAGGCAGGTGGGATCTGCTGGCACCCCAGCCGTCCCTGTCAACAACCAATGCAAAATGGGGCGGCCGCGCATGCTCCAAATGATGTGGCGGCAGAGTGCGCTTTGTATTGTTTTTTGACAGGGATTTCGGGGTGGCGGGCCCTCATGGAGTCGGCATGGTTCCGGGTTGGACGCCGTCCCGGTGGGGGAGGGGGTGTATACTCATAGGGAACAGTGATGAAGCTACCTTTCTAGATGGTAGGCCGTTTAGCTCACTCCCACCCGCCCTACCAACACATAAGTGACACCCGAGTGTCTGCAGATCGCTTAGGAACGCCACGCATGCTATGCGCGCCACGGGTTCCAGGTGCACCAGGCACCCTGGAGGCCCAATCTTGCCATCCGCGGCACCTGCTTCAAGTGCGCCAACTATGCCACGTGCTCCAGCCGCGCCAGTTGTGCCAGCTACGAGGAACCAATCCCAGGTGCTTGGGTCCCTGGCCCCAACAAGTTTAGGATCTTGAATCCCCTTGAAGCGAAGTGTCGAGCATTCTGTGAGAAGGGCGGCTCCTCCAGGGAACGCAAAGCACCGGCACCAATGGACCAAGTGTGACATCTTGAGGAGTCGTGAAACAGATGAGAGTTCAGAGCAAAGAGGGTCTTTCGCATGCTCCAGATTCGGAGCCAAAGTGTACTGTTGTATTGCTGTTTGACAAGGATGGTTGGCCTGCGCGCAGCAAGCAACATGCTGGCATCCCCGCCGTCCCTGTCAATAACCAATGCAAAGTGGTCGCGGGGCGGCCGCGCATGCTCCAAATGATGTGGCGGCAGAGTGCGCTTTGTATTGCTTTTTGACAGGGATTTCGGGGTGGCGGGCCCTCATGGAGTCGGCATGGTTCCGGGTTGGACGCCGTCCCGGTGGGGGAGGGGGTGTATACTCATAGGGAACAGTGATCAAGCTACCTTTCTAGATAGTAGGCCGTTTAGCGCGCTCCCACCTGCCCTACCAACACATAAGTAGCACCCGAGTGTCTGCAGATCGCTTAGGTTGTTTCTGTTACAAAGGATGGGGGAGGGCTCATTGGTCCAGGTTGGCTGCTGGTCGCCTGGCGGAGGGGGTGTTTTATTTATAGGGAACATTGATAAACTCCACCCCGAAGGGGAAAGGGACCATGTAAGAGGAAACCCTTGCTTCCTTGCTATCCTTGCTTTCTCACGTCCAGAGGGCTGGTGGGATTTGCTATCCTTGCTTCCGTTGTCGTCTTCGTCTGCCCCCTCACGTTCCTCATCTTCCTGAGTCCCCTCCTGCTCCTCGTCCACCGTCGGTTGCGACGTGCTGCTCTCGTCCTTGCCTCACTGGATCTCTTCGAGGATTTTCTTCAAGGGGGTAATCATGGTAGGCTGCTGCTCCGAATAATTTGGAAGCGTAGGTAGCTTAGAAAATCGAGGCTTTGCGCTCAGCGATTAGCCCTCTGGACGAGGAGGTTGGCTTGGATTGAATTGCGGTCAGAGGCGGCAAGTCAATCTACGGTGAAAAGTTCAAGGACGAGAACTTCATGTTTACGCACACGCGGCCTGGACTGCTGAGCATGGCGAACTCGGGGAAGGACCCCCCCCTTCCTGCTGCGCCTTCTGCTTCTGCTCCCCTGCGTCTGCCTCTCTGTCCTCCTGGTTCTTCTACTGGTGCTCTTCCTCGTGGTTTCTGTGCGAGCAGATGGGCCGCTTGCTCCACGATCCATCCATCCAGGGGTGTTGTAAGCCACCTTGAGGCCGCCCTCGAGCCCGCTGGGAGGCCCGTTCGTGGAACGCTGGGGGCCGCGTTTGTGTTTTGGACGTCTCTTGAGCAGGCTACTGTAACTTTCTTGTTTTTGTGGCGGCTGTCCGTGTCAGCAAAGTGTCTTTTGAGATGCGTCGTCGACCTATTCAGACCATGGCGTTGAGCTCCGCGAACTGATGTCAGCATCAACGCAAAACCTTTGCACCTGTAGGGGAGGCCCAAAGGACCTTCTTGTGAGGCAGACCGCTGCCGTTGGAGACCTGTCTGTGGAGACATCGAGCATTCTGAAACTGGTCTGCTTTGGGGCGGCTGGCAGATACACGCCAGGTGTAAAGAGACAGACATGCTGACACTCTTGCTCCATTGGCGGCCTATGTGGTTGCTCCATGGGCCCAAGGTGGGTAAGGAACTGTATTGCTTTTGTTTCATCACCTCTTTACGTGCATACATGCAGCCCTCCAACGTGCATCAAGCTGTGTCACTGAAGCTGGTCTCAATATTAATCCAGGGCGAGACGCGCACCATGTCCGAAGCACGAAACACGTCAAGCTGACGAACAACGCAGTAACTGGAAGCAAAGTATGCTTGCCGTCGTGGGTATCGAACGGTTCAGGAGGGGAAAAACACAGACACAATTAATCGCCGATTCCGAGAAGCATGTGGGAAAATATGGAAAGTGTGTGTGTGTGTATGTGTGTGTGTGTGTGGGGGGGGGGGGGGGGGGGGGGGAGGGGGGGGAAAAAAACCATAAAATATGGAACATATGGGGAATCCTGTTATTTGTGTCTATTCATTTGTGCGTCCCAGGGCCCCTTCAACAGTGGGTTCTTACTCCAGGCGTCGATGCTTTGTGAGTCATGATGTCAGCGAGGGCGTCCGCGCAGAGAGCTCTCACCTTTTCATTCGATCCGCCAGTGACATTCGTTGTTCGCACATGCATCTCTATGTCGGAGGTTGGGGGGTGAGTCCGACGTGAAACGGAGACCCCCCCTACCGGGAAATCGATCTCGGTTTCGGGTTCGTGCCGTGCGTGCCGTGCGTGCGTGCGGCTGAGGCGAAGCTGCGTGGGCGGGCGAGCGGAAATCCTCCTGCGGCTGGGCCGCGGCCGGACCAAATGTTTCGCCTCCGGCGGCAGGTGGCGCGCGGTGTCCCGCCGGTGTCCCGCTGATGTCCCGAAATCCTCCTGTGGCTAGGCCGCGGCCGGGCCAAATGATTCTCCTCTGGCGGCCGGTGGCCCGCGGTGTCCCGCCGGTGTCCCGCTGGTGTCCCGCCTTGGCTGCGGCGAGCTATCCAATGCAAGTCTACATGCAAACCGACATGCAAACCGAAAAGCACATCGAACTGCAAATCGACATGCACATCCAAATGCAAATCGTAAGGCGCCGTGGGTTGCGTTTTTAATAAATCGGCGCCTGCGGCGAGCTTTCCAATGCAAGTCGACATGCAAATCGAGATGCAGATCGAGTGCGCTTCGTCAACATCGCCACATCACATCACGCTCGCGATCACAATCACACTATCCACTAGACTGCGCACCACAGGCATCGTCATAACAACATTCACCACTGTTGCCCATTACTGCCCCCCCCAAAACCTCTTTATCACCCGCAGGGCCAGGGTGGTCGTATAGGTAGGTGTGTATATGCATACCTATGTGACCACCCTTCGGGTGATGAGGAGTTCCGGGTGGGGGAGAAACCAGCGTCTCACTCAATCGATCTCATTAACGATCTTATTACCGATCTCACTATCGATCTTATTATCGATATCACTATCGATTTCACTTCGATTTCACTATCGGTTTAAATATCGATCTCACTATAGATCTCAGTATCGATTTCACTCTCGATCTCACTGTCGATCTCACTCTCGATCTTACTATCGATCTCACTGTCGATATCACTATCGATCTCACAATCGATTTCACTCTGTATCTCACAGTCAGTCTCACTAACGATCTCACTGTCGATCTCACTATCGATCTCAACCGCTCGATCTCATAATCGATCTCGCTATCGATCTCACTATTGATCACACTATCGATCTCACGATCGATCTCACTATCCATCTTTCTGTCGATCTCAAAATCGATTTCGCTATCGATACCACTATCGATCTCACACCGAAGGGGCACCGACGGGACACTGACAGGACACCACGGGACACCATCAGGACACCACGTGACAACATCGGGACACCACGGCGGAACACCCCTGGCCACCGCCGCCAATCTCGGGAGAGGGCGGTCTTTCGGCCCCGCGGTGCCCTAGCCAGAGGAGGGTTCACTCTTCTCGCCCGCCCACGTGGCTTCGCCTCGCCCGCACGCACAACACGAGCACGAAGCCGAAACCGAATTCCCGGTGGGGGGGCTTTCCGCGTTACTGCGATCTCACCCCCTCGCATCCGATACATATAAGGAGGGACCAGGTTTGGTGGTCCCCAGGCTGGAACCCCGACCGCAAATGGGTGGACCAGGGCTCCTCGCGCGCACTTCGGGAGCCTCAAATCGACGCTGAGGGTGATCAGACAGCCGTCAAGACGATCCATGGCGGCTTTGAGTTGACCCAAGACGGTCTCCAGACGTTTCAGACGGCTCACTTGGCGTCTCCAGCGGCTCAAATTGCTTCCAAGACGCCCCGAGAGTGCTCCGGCTTTGGGAGGTTTTTTTTTTCTTGTTGTTTGGTTTTTGAAGTTTTTTGGGGTTCTCGCCTTTTGAGGCTTCCAACATCCCAAGATGGCTCAGGAGGCGCCACAAGTCGCCCAGAGACGGCCCAAGAGGCCTCCAAGGAAGCCCCCAAAAGGCCTCCAGAAGGTCCAAGATGGCCCAAGAGGGCCCCCAAACGGCCCAACAAAGCCCCAAGACGGCTCGGGAGAGCCCCAAGGCGGCCGCAAGAGAGCCCAAAGAGCACCTCAAGAGGTCTCCAAGAGAGCTCCAAGACGGCCAAAGCACCCTCAGACGGTCCAGAAGGGCCCCAGGACGGCCCAGGAAAGCTTCAAGAGAACCCCTTGTGCCCCTCCTCTGTGTCCCCCCTCCGCTCTACGTTGTTAAAGAGTTCACTTCTCCTTGCTTCTGCCCATCCCGTTCCGCCGTGCCCCTCCTGCCCCAATCATTTTTCTTCCTCTTCGCAGCAGTCCCTTAGCATTCGCACGCGTCTCTTCCTCGACGTCGTTCTCTTCTCTATGTGTTCCCTCCTTCCCTCCTCCCCTTTTTCCTTTCCCTACCTCCTCTTCTTCCTTTTGCCCCCCACCCCCCATGCAGTTGCGCTTATCGCAGGGCGATCCGCAACATGTATATGTCAGCACAGCGCTCTTGCCTGTCTCTACTTATCCTCCTCCTGATGCTCCTCTCCCCTCCTTTCCTCTCCAACTTCCCTCCTCCTCCTCCTCCTCCTCCTCCTCCTCCTCCTCCTCCTCCCCCCCGCTCCTCCTTCACTTCCTCCTCCTCCTCCTCCTCGGGCCCGAGCGACAGGCCGCTGTCTCGACCCGAAGGTATACGAACAGTGACAAGAAAGATCGAAAGCAGCTCAGACAGCGAGGCTGCTGCCGCCACAGATGAGCACAGGGGCCCTTTCGGTGACGACCTGGACTACGACCCGGATAAGGTGAGCGAGGAATCTGAAGCGGACGTGGCAGACGAGCCTGAAGAAAGCACAGACACATGCGATGGTCACAACACCGGGGGCGGCTGACGACGAAACATCCAGCGTCACGGGCGACAGGCCCCCGCTGCCGAGGAAGCAAGATCCACCGCGCCGGGCTCCTCCGGAAGGGTACGTGCGAGGCTGGGGGCGGAGCGGCAGACGAGGGCAACGAGACGGGCCAACTCAGCGCAGCGCTGACGACAGGACTGGTTCCTCGCGCGAATACAGGACCAGTGGAGTCACGACAGGTCCTCAGACCGCCACGCATCCTCGCGACGACGCGTGGCGTCACCAGGAGATGCGCGCGGGAAGCGACGGGATTTTCAATCGTGGCATATGGGTACTTTTCGCAAAGAGCCCACTGTCCACCAACGAGCCCAAGAAGAGCGACGGGTCCAAGATGTACAAGGCACCACGGCGCACGATCGACTCGCGCCACCCTTGTGAGTCCGACAGCGCTTTCATCCTCTGGATGCAGAAAAAGCTAGGCAGCATGTTCAGCGACCTGTGGTGTGCACGCTGTACCAAAACTTGCTTCGCTAACGCCCGGCCGACCTTTGACCCAGCACTGCAGCCGCCAGGCGTGTGCCGGGTTTTCCTCGACGCCTGGAGGTTTGCAAACTACGACGTGTACCGCGCCGACCATGTCCTGCGCGCCAATGCCCGCTTTCGCAGCCCAGCGGGCAGGCTCGCGGCTATCAGTAACGCCTCCAGTTCAGGAGCTGCCAGCAGCAGCGGGGCCGCCGCCTCCAGATCCCACGCGGCGGGAGAGCACCCGAGCAAGGGGAAAGGCAAGTCGAAGGACGGACCCGATTCACTGGGCAAGGTTGGGAAAAGGAACCGAGTAACCGAGAGCCCATGCAATTCATGGCACGAGAAACGGTATCGTCAGTAATAGTGGGCGTGGGGCATCACCCAGTTTCGACGAGATGCGGCTCTGTCATCACACCGGGTATGCGGTGCGCCAGGCGACTGCGCTGCTAACTCGCTCTCGTGTGCTTGCGGCGGATAGTCGCGTTCCCCTGCTCTCCTTTCCCTTCTGCCTCCTTCGCAGTCGCTGCGGCTCAATGCTGGCATCAGACTGGCAGCCCACGTGATTGCCCCTGCCGAGCGTCCCATTGAAGAGCGCCCGGAATTCTTCGTCGACTGCGCCTCCC